TATTAAATATAATTTTTATTTAAATAATTATATTTATTTTTATATAATATATAATTTTAATATATATTTTTTTTAATAATATATTTTTCATTATTATTGTATTATAATTTAAAATCAAATAAAATATTATTTATTTTATTTTTATATATATAATAAATATTTTTAGTATATATATTCTTTAATAATTATTCATTTTCTATTTCCTTTATTTTTTTATTAAATTTATTCTTTTTTTCTTAGATTAAAAATAATAATTGAATATTTCTCTTTATTCTTTGTATTATAATTGTAAAAAAAATAAAAAATCTTCATGATTATTCGTGATATTTCTAATTCTATGACTAAATAGCTTACTTTAAAAAGAGCATCTAATATATCTGCCATCATTTTACATTAGTAATTTATTTATTATCTTTTAAAATTAAATATTTAAATTACAAACATTTATATATATAATAAAAAAAAGATATTTGAATTTTTTATTTACAGATTTCTAGTTTATTTATAATTTTTATATCTTTAATGTTTTTTTACAAGTAGCTTTTTTTGTTTGAAATTAGTTACTGTATTATTTTTAATTATCTATTCTTTTCTTTTATTTTTTCTAAATTTTTTTTTTATATTTTATTAAATTGTTTAAGAAAAAACTCTTCTAGTTTTTTTAATTTTTCTCCTTTTTTTTTTATTATTTTTCATTTTCATCTAATATCTAATCTTTTTAAGTTTTAATCTATCTTTCTTAAATATATTTACTTATTTCTTTACTTTTATGAGCTATTTAGTAACTTTATTTAATTATTCTCATTTTATGTGTAATCTCGACAAATGAATATGTCGGTTGTCTAATTTTATGAACAAATTTTATTGTAATTAAAATAGGTTCAATATAAAAATTATATTTTTCAATAAAAAAGAATATTAAAGAATTATTAATTTAATTTATTATATATAAAAAAATAATGTTTAAATAAATGCTAATAATTTTTTGTATGAAATAACTCTATTTAAATAGTTTTAGTATTCTTTTGAATTCATTTAATAATATCAAAAAAATTGATTATAATTTTTTCTTTGTATATAAAATATTATATATAATTTTATTTAATTTTTAATAAATATTTTGTTTTAATTTTAATATTTTTATTTTATTATTTTAATTTTATTTAAAATAATTTATTAAGAGTTTTAAAAAAATAAAAATTCAGTATGTAAATTTTATTGGATTTTATTTAAATAACAAAATTATTATATATTAAAGTTTGTGTTATATAACTAATCTATTTATTCTGACTATTTATTTTAAGAAAATACAAAAGAATATTAAATAATAATCAGACATAATATTAATATCTATATATTTTATAAATTTTGTATGTATTTAATAATAAATAAAAATATTTAAATTAATATAGTAAATCTTCTATTATTGAGTAAAGTTATAATTAATATATTTAAATAAAAAATTAAAAAATAGATATGCTTTTATTAAATTTTATTTTAATTTATAAGAATTAAACAAGTAATACTATATAAAATTAATTATAAATCTTATATTATTTTTTTTTAAATAAAAGAAAATTTTATTATAAGAAAATTTAATTATTTTTCAAAATAGGATTTTTTTTTTTTTCAATTATTAAATTATTTTCATTTTAACAAATAAATTACAATAAAATTTATTTATGTATTACATTATTCAAATTAAAATCAAAAAAATAACAAATATGAAAAAAACTAAATTAATTACTATTATAGATATAAAATATTTTTAATTATTTCATATTTTGGATGATAAATTTTTATAGGAATATATTAAAAAAAAATAAAAATAATATTTTAGCTATATTTATTGTTTTATTAACAATTTAAATTCTTAGCAATGTCAGGCCTGAAGTGTATTTTATGTATATTTATTTAATAAATTACTTTTTTTGTCATTGGTTTTACATAAATTATGTGTATTAAATTATTATTTATATTTTAGATAAAATTTTTTATGAATTTTTCAAATATTATATAGGAAGAATCTGAAAAATTTTATAAATTTTAATAAATATACCAATCTATATTTAATAAACAATTTTTTTTTTTTAATTTTATATAAATTTATATTTATATAAAAATATTATATATAATAAAAAATTATTTAGAGTTAAACTTTCAATATATAATTGTATATTTTATTTATTTATAAAATATTTATAATTTTAAATATATTTTTAATTATTTAAGAAAATATAAATAATTATTATTAATTTATATAAATATATAAATCAATAAAGTTTTTTATTTTATTTATATTAAAATATATATAATTTAAAGATATTTTTTATTTATATTAGTAAATATTTTTATTTACATAACTATATTTTAATATATAATATTATTTAAAACAAATTATTTCTTAATTTAATATTTATATTTATTAATAAAATTTTATTTTTTACATTTTTTTTATTTTTTTTAATTAATTTTACTTTAATTTTAAAAAATAATTATTTTTCATATATATGTAAATAATTTTATTCTTATTATTTATATTTAAATAAAATATATTATTATTTATTAATATTGCCTGAAATTTATAAACTTAAACAAAAAATAATATTAAAAATTTTTATCTATATATATTATATTATATATATGAATTTATTTTATATATATTTTTTCTATATTACTAAATCTTAATGATTTTTTTTTAATATTATAACTAATTTTTTTATTTAAAATAAAAATCTTATTTATATTTGAATATCAGTTCATTAAAGATAAAAATATATAATATTTTATATTATATTAATTTGATAATAATATAAAGAAATTATTTAAAATTAAAATAATTTTTGAAATATTAATTGAGTTATTATTTTATTAAAAAATAAATATGATTTATTAATATTTATAATTTATTATATTTTACAATACAAAGGTTTCATTATTTATTTAATTATACTTTTATTATAATAGATTAACTATTTTTTTTATTTTAAATTTTATGATATTTATTATTTTATTAAAATATAAAAATAATACTATATAAAACTTAATTAATATGTTATTGCGTCATGCTTTATTGAAAATAAAAACATATAAATAATAATTATAAATAAAATTTATTTTAATTATATTTTTTAATAGTTTTCAAAAAATAAAATTTATTATTGAAATTTCGCATTTATTATGATAAAATAACCATAGTATAATGAAATAAATTAAAATTTTATAAAAAAAAATGCATAAAAATATTATAATAACTTTAATTATTTCATTATTTATCAATAAATTAAAAGCTACAAAATGTATTATTGGTACTGAAACAAATATTGCTGGTAGTGATGATGATCGAGGAGATCGAGCAAATTGTGTAAACTGTAAAGCTAATTATTATTTTAGTGGTGCTAATTTCATTTCTGGTGTTAGTCAATGTTTTTAATGTCCTTCTTAAAAAACTGTAGATGCTTAAGCTAACGCAGGTAGAATTGCTACATTAGCTATTCAATGTAATACTGATTGTCCTACTGGTACTTAAACGGAACAAGGAATACTACTTATGTATTATAAAGAAAAGAATGTAATTTTTGTTAGGCTAACCATTATTTCCAAAATAATTCAATGCTTTTTTCACCAGGTTTTAGCAAATGTGATAAATGTCCAGTATAAAAAGCTTCTGGTTTTGAAGCAACTTTAGGATCTAATGCAAAACTAGCCATATAATGTGACGTTACTTGCCCTACCGGAACAACAATATAAACTGGATAAACTAGTTATGTATTATTTAAATATGAATGTGTTAATTGCAATGCTGACTTTTATTTTGATTCAATTGGATTTGTTTCAGGTGTAAATGAATGTAAACCTTGTCCAATAAAAAAAGAGGTTCTATTCCAACAAGAGGTTTAGATGCTTCTATGGATGTATAATGCTATGCTGAATGTCCTGATAGTACTGTAATGTATGATGGAAATACAAAATATAAAAGTAAAATATCAGATTGTGTTAAATGTGATGCTAATTATTATACTACAAAACAAAAAGGTTGGATAGCTGGTACTGATATATGTATTCCTTGTACTAATATAGTAGCATAAGGATCAGAAGCAAATTGCCCAATTTCTGCTACTCAATCTAATTAATGCAAAACAGCTGGTACTTTCTCTTAATTTTTAATATTTTCCTTATTATCTATTTATTTATATTTATTGTGATAAATGAATAAAAAAATATATTTTTTATATAAAAAATTGATAACATAAAATCTTAATAAATTCTTTTAATTTATTTTACTTGTAGTATTTTAAAAAGTTAATTGGAAATATGTAATTAAACAAAGAATTTTATTATTAGTAATTTTATTTTAGTAAGATAATTAATAAATATTATTTTTTAAAATTAATATAAAATATAAAACAAGACAAAAAATATATATTTAAGTAAAAAGAAGTAATATTTATAATTTTATATATATTTATTTAATAAATATTTTAATGTATTTTATTAAATTTCAATTGAATTTTTAATATAGTTTTTTATTAAAAAAGCCTTTTGAATGTTAAATGTATTATTTTTTAATAAAATTTGTATATTTTTTTATTAAATAAAGAATTCTTAAAGTAATATTTAATGAGCTTTTTTGCTTTAATAATAATTTTAATTAATACAAATATTTTTTTATATTTTAAGTATAAAAATACATAAATTTATTAGAAATTTGGTAATAATAATCATTAATATATAAAGGCAATAAATAAATGTAAAATATATTGTATATCTAATTTATATAAATTTGTTAAAGCAAGCTAATATTAATATTTTATATACATTTTTAATAAATATAATGATTTATTTATAACATTAAATTACAAATTACATTTAAAAATAATAAATTTATTTTTTTTATTGGGTATTATAATAAAATTATTATAATTTTTATAGATAATAATTTTAAAATTTTAATATATATATAAAATTTTTATTTATATATACTATTTTAACAATATAAAAATTAAAATTTATTATTTAAACAAAATATTAAATAAAAATAAAATATTTTCATTTTAATTAATTAAAAAAATATATAGATTATGCCAATAAATTATTCATTTATATAAAAAGAATATATAATTTATTCATTATAATTAATATATATTTATATTAATATATATATTCATAATATATATTTAAATTATATATATTCATTAAAAAATATTTTATTAAACAATTATTAGAAATTATATTGATTAGTTTTATTTTTTCTTATTTTTGTTTAATAAAATAAATTTTTTTAAAACATTTTAATAAAATTCATTTTTATATAAAACTTATTATACTATAATAATATTTTATTGCAACTTTTATAAATACATAATTAGATTGCATTAATTAAAAGAAATTTATGATTTTAAGTTTTTTATATCTATAATTAAAAAAATTATATTAAATTAATTTATATTGTTATAAATTTTTTTAAAATTAAATGGCTATTTAATAGTGTTAATATTTTTTTTTAAAAAAAATTAAATAATCTTTTTAATAATTTTTGTTTTTATATAAAAAATAAATAAAAAATTATTAAATAAATTACTCGTTTATATATTAAAACAATTAAATAGAAATATATGAGAAATATATGAACATTTTTTTATTTTATTTTTGTTATTTTTTATTAAATTTACTTTAATAGTATTAAAAATAAAAAAATTAATAATAATTAATTTTTAATGAATTAATATTTTATTTAAAAAAAATATTTATAAAAAAAATTTAAGATATCTAAAAATATTTATATTTATATTTATTAATAAAATTAATATATTTTTATTGAATATAAAATAATTAATATATATTTTTAATACTAATAATTTTTAATTTTGATATATATAAATAATTATTTATTTATTTTATTTAATATATATTTATTATAATTTTATATATATATTAATATATTTTTTTAAAAATATATTAATTATTTTATCTTTTTATTTATAAGAATATTTATATAAATTTATTAAAAAAATATTTATTTTTATATTAATTTAAAAATATTAATAATATTAACTTTTTTTTATAATATAAAAATTAATATATATTATATATATTTTATAATATAATTATATTATATTTTATTAATTTTAAATCCTTATTTCCTTTATATAAATTAAGTGTTTAATAAATATTATAAAATTTTATTTTATATTTCATAAACAAAAAATATTTATAGGACCAAAAAATAAATTATATTATATTTTTTTAAATTATATTTAGATAAATTAATCATTTTAATGTTCTGATAATATTACTATAATTAAAAGAAAAAAATGAATATTTATTATATAATTTATATTATATTACTATATTATAAAAAATAAATTCTATATATTTTATTTGATATTTAAACAATTTATATATTTTATTAAAATTAGCATAAAATAATATTTATAAATTTTTTATTTTATAATTATTATAATCTTCTTTTTTCTTTTTTATTTTTGTATTTATTTAAATAATTTAATAAAATTATATATAAAAAAATATATTATTAATTTTGACTACTTAGAAGTTTTATTATTTATTTTTAATTGTATAAAAACTAAAATATTATAGGAAATCTTTTTTTATTTTTTTGTTTAATTATGTCCTAATTTTAGGTAAAAAATTTATTTTAATTAAAATAAGTTCAATATTAAAAATTTTTTTTTCAATTAAAAATATTAAAGAATTATTAATTTAAATTATTATATATGAAAAAAAATAATTATTTAATAAAGTTTAAATAATTTATATTTTAAAAAGAACCATATTTAATTATTTTTATTATTTTTTTTTTAATTGATTTATTTCTTTAATAATAACAAAAAAAATTGATATTTTTTTTTTTTTATGTATAAAATATTATTTATCCTTTTATTATTTTATTTAATTTATAATATATAATTTGTTTTATATTTATTAACAATTATTATTTTATTATTTGTATAAATTTAAATGCTATGGCAATTAAATATTTATTTAAATTTCAAAAGAATATATTTTTCAATATTTAAATTATTTTGAATTTAAATTAAATAACAAAATTATTATATATTGAAGTATGTGTTATATAGCTAATATATTTTATATTGACTATTTATTTTAAAACTACATTAGAATATTTAATAATAATTAGACGTAAGTTATTATCAATATTATTTTTAATGTTTGAATATAATTAATAAAAAATGAAAAGAAATAAAATAATATTGTAAATTATATATAATGGAGAAACTACAATCATTATACTAAAATAAATATACAAAAAAATATTCTTATTTTTAAATATTATTTTAAAATAAAATCTATGAAAAAACTAATAATGTATAAAATATAAAATAAATTATATATTTAATATGTGATTTATTAAAATAAAATAAATTTTATAATATATATAATTAATTAAATATTTTTAAAAATAGGAAAATATTTTTTTTATAATTATTATATATTTTTTTTTTTAATAAATTAATATATTAATCTATTAATATTATAATTTAAAAAATATTAAATATCAAAATAAATATATTTTAGAGTTTTTACAATATAAAATTTTATTAATTATTTCATTTACATCATTTATAAATTCATTTACATCATTCATAAATTATTTTATGAATAATTTAAAATATAATTAAAATAATAATTTAGTTATTTTGATTACTTCATTATCTATAAACTATTTTAATGCCCTATCAATATCCTGATAGTATTAAAATTAACGTAGCTGAATAATCTGATGATAGAGAATTTCATTTAAATTGTATTAATTTTAAAATAAACCTTTAATATAATAGTCCTCCTCACTTTTAATATCTTGGTTATAGTAAATTCACAGCTTGCCTGCAAATAAAGCTGATGTTGCTTTATCTACTCAAGGTGCTAAAGTTTCAATAATAACCATATAATTTAATTTGCATGATCTGATAGTACTAAAATTATTTAAAAAAAAATTAAATTTATTTTCTCTAATTTTTTTTAGACAAATTTATTTAATTTTTTTTGTTCAATAGATTTATAGGACAGATAAAAATTTCTTAAATAATAAATTTTATACATTTATTTATAATTTAATTATTCCGAATTTCAAATTTCAAAGTTTATGTTATATTATTTATTTTTAATAACTTAACATTATTTTTTTATTATTTATTATTTAAAATTAAAGAAATAGAACGACATATTATTTTTTTATTTAATGAATTAAACGTTTAGATGTATTTACATTACTAATGTATGTTAATTTATTATTTAAATTTTATATATGAATTTATATGACTTTATCAAATATTATAAAAAAGAAACTGAATAACTTTATAAGTTTTAGTAAATAAACATACATAAATTAAAAAAACCATTAATTTTATTTTTATTTTATAATAAATATAAATATTCTTTTAAAATAATGTATATTAATTATTCAATGTTAAAAAAAAAAAAGCTTTCATATATATATATATATTATTATATATTTAAAAAAAATTATATAATTTATATATTATATATAAAATTTTATACTTTTAACTTAACTTATTATTAATAATTTATAAAATTATAAAAGAAATAATAAAATTAATTGAGATTTATAATATATAAAATATATTTGTTTTTAATAATATAAAATTATATTTAAAAAAATTAAAAATCATTTTAGTTAATTATATTTGTATTATATATATTAAGAAATATTTTATTTATTAAATATATTACAATTTAAAAAATTATATATAACAAATTATATATTTATTTAATATTTATATAATTAATATAAAGTTTTATATAAATACTTAAATTAAATTCTTTTAATATAAATTTAATTATTATATTAATTTATAAAAAATTATATTTATTTATATTAAAACCATGTTACATATTTATTTAATATAGCATATTTATTAGAAATGCAATAAATTGACTAAAACAAAGTATATAATAAAAAAAATCTATAATTATATTTAATAATAAATATATATATACTTTAATAATATATTTAACTATATTAGAATTTATAAGTTTTATTTTTAAATATTATAACTATATGTTTATTTAATCAATAATATTATTTAATAATATGTTTAATTTATTTAAGATAGAAATAAATATTGATAAATAATTTACTGCATATATAAAAGCATAAATAAAATAAAAAAATTTGTTAGAAATTTAAATATATTTCGAAATAATTGTAAAGTTATTTTTTATAAGTAAATAAATATGATTATATAAAGATTATTTAATTAAAAATATTTCATTACTTTTTTTATCCTTTAATTATCTTTCATTAATTATTTTTTTATTTTAAATTTTCTTATATGTATTTTTTTATTAAAATATAAAAATAAAATAAAATCAATAAATAAATAATTTATTATTGAGTTTTTTTTTTAAAATAAAATAAAATTATTTAAATAATAATTATATATAAAATGAATTTTTTACTATTTCATAAAATAAAATTTATTATCGTAATTTTGCATTTATTTATGAGCAAATTTACTTTAGCATATAATAAAATAAAATAAAATTTTATAAAAAAAATGCATAAAAATATATTAATAATTTTGATTATATAATTATTTATCAATAAATTAAAAGCTGTAAAATGTAATTGGGGTACAGAAACTAATCTTGAAGGTATAGATGATAATCTAGGAAATCGAGCAAATTGTGTTAACTGTAAAGCTAATTATTATTTTAGTGGTGCTAATTTCATTCCTGGTGTCAGTTTATGCGAACGCTGTCCAATTTCAAAATTTTAAGATGCTAGAGCCAATGATGGTAATATTGCTACATTAGCTGTTCAATGCGATATTAATTGTCCTACTGGTACTTAAACTGAACAAGGAAATACTACTTATGTATTATTAAGAAATGAATGCAATTTTTGTAAGGCTAACTATTATTACGAAAGTTTTATTATTAATTTCACAGGAGGTGTTGACAAATGCAATAAATGTCCAGTATAAAAAGCTTCTGGTTTTGAAGCAACTTTAGGATCTAATGCAAAACTAGCCATATAATGTGACGTTACTTGCCCTACCGGAACAACAACTAAAACTGGATCAACTAGTTATGTATCACATAAAAATGAATGTGTTAATTGCAATGCTGACTTTTATTTTGATTCATTTTACTTTTATGCAGGTATTAGTACATGCAAACCTTGTCCAGTAAAAAAAACTTCTGGTGCTATACATACGGAAGGTTTAAATGCTTAAATATATATCTAATGCGATGCTGAATGTCCTTTTGGTACTGTAATTTATGATGGAAAAACAACCTATTTTAAAAATGATAAATCCGAATGTGTTAAATGTGCTACTAATTTTTATACTATAAAGTAAAATGGTTGGATAGCAGGTACTGATACATGCATTCCTTGTCCTAATATTTTAATTTTAAGTGGTAAAGCAAATTACCCTTTTTCTGCTACTTATGCTGCTTAATGCAAAATTGTTTTCTCTTAATTTTTAACATTTTCTTTATTATTAATTTATTTATATTTCTTATGATAAATAAAAATATAAAAATATTGTATATTTAAATTATATTTAAATAAATAAATATTATTATTTAAAATTAATCTATATTGTTTTTTAAAACAAAAATATATGTTTAAGAAACATGAAGTATATTTTTTAATTTCATAAATAATTTAAAAAATTATATTTATTTGTTCTTTTCAAATTTTATATAGTTTTTTTATTAATAAAGCATTTCGATTGTTAAATTATATTTTTTATAAAATATATATTTTAAATTTTTTATTTTTTATTAATTTATAAAAATTTTCAATGCCAAAATAATGAATTGTAAAAGCAAATATAATAAGAGTTTTGTATTAATAAAACTTTTATAAATAAACCTATTTTTTATGATGATAAGTATTAAAATATTCATTTTTTTGATAACAAAATTAATTAAATTTAAAAAGGCAAGAATTTATAAAATATATTTTATTATAGATTATGAACTTTTAGTTTTTAAAAATAAATATATATATTTATATTATAAAAACTATATTTTTATTATTTAATAAATATAATAATTTTTTATAATATTAAAAATATTATATGTATTTAAAAATAATTAATTTAAATATTTTATTATTTTTAAATAAAATTATTATATATTTTTTAAGTTATATATTAAAAATTTTATAATCTATTAACAAAAATATTTTTTTACAATTTAATATAATAATTATATAGTTTATGCGAATATTTATCCATTTTTTTTAAATAAAATAAATGAATTAGATATTGTAGTTAATAATATAAAATAAAAATATAATTTTAATATTAAAACAATTCATAATTTAACTATTTATTCTAATTATTGTATAAAAATAAAATATAATTATTAACAATTATTAGAAATTATATTGCTTAGTTTTATTATTGTTACTTTTGTTTAATAAAATAGATTTAGTTTAAATATATTAATTTAAATCATCTTAAATAAGATTTATTATACTCTATTGATATTTTTTTTTATAGCAAATTTTATAAGTACATAAATAAAATTGTATTAATTAAAAGAAAATATATTATTTTATAATTTTTTTTAATATTTATAATTTAATAAAATTATTTTAAACTTAATTTATATAGTTACAAAAGTTTATATATGAATTTGCTTTTTATAAGATCTTGTTTTAAAAAATAGAAAAAAATTAAATATTTTTTTTTAAAAATAAATAATAAAAAATTATTATGTGTTTAATTGTTTATATATTGAAAAATTATTGTATTAAAAATATATGGAATTTTTTTTAATTTTTTTTTAAATATTTTTTATGAAAATTACTTTTTTAACTTTTATAAATAAAAATTATTATATTTATAATGATATTTTATATATTATTAATGTTTGTTTTTTTTAAAAAAAACAAATAATATTTTAAAACAACTTTATAATATCTACTAATAATTATAAAATATTTATTGTTTTATCATATAAAAAAATAAATATATTATATTGTATTATATAAAAATAAAACTTGTTTGCAATTTTTTTATAATACTTTATAAATAAAAAAAATAGATTAATTTTTTTATTTTTTAACTATTAAAAAAAGACGAACAAGTTGTACTTTTTCATAATATAATATTTTTTTTAATAATTCAAATATAACAAATTTTTATAATAATTTAAAATAAATATTTAAATCTATTACATAAATATTTTTTTATAATTCTAAAATATATATATCATAATTTAATAATATATTAATATTTTATTATTAAAAATTTTTTATGCATAAGAAAATATAAATAAAGTTTATATATAATATAATTATTTATATAAATTAAAAATCAAATTAAAATTAAAATTATATTTTATATTGTTTAAATAAATAATAATAATTTATATATAATTATAATACCTTATTTCCTTTTTATATGTTATATGAATTAATTAAATTTTTAAAATATTATATCATTAACAATAAATATATAGTTTTATTTCACTAAAAAATAATATTTATTAATTTCTTTTCTTCTATATTATATTTAATTTAATTCTTTATATTAACTATTTGGTAATATTACTATAGTTAAAGAAAAACGATTGATATTAATATTATATAATTTTATTTATATTACAGAATTTAATTTGTATAAATACTAAAAATTATTATTAATAAGAATAAAATACATAAATTATTATATTTTATAAAAACATAATATTGTAATTATTTTTAAATATTATCTACTTTATTTTATTTATAATAATAAATAAAATTATAAAAATAAAATATATATTATTTAATTTTTACTATTAGTAAGATTTATTATGTATTATTAATTTTTTAATAATACATCTGAAATTTTTTTAATTTAATTTATTATTCTATCTAATTTTTTTGCACAAATTATTTTCTAATTAAATTCAATTCAATATTAAAAATGGTTTTTTCTATTAAAATGATATTAAAGAATTATTAATTTAATTTTTTATTTATATAAAATAATTTTTAAATATATTATTTTTACTATTTTTTGTTAAATAATTTTATTTCACTAATAATAAAAAAAAATAGATTATAAAGATTATTTATATTTAAAATATTTTTTATTTTATTTAATTTATAATCAAAATTTTCTTTTACAAACATTAACATTTTTTTTTATTCTTTTTATATAATTAATTTATTGTTCAAATAAATCATTTATTTATAATCGAAAGAATAAATATTACAGTATTTAAATTTTTTCGAATAGCTTTTTTAATATATTACATTATTAAAATTTATATTTAAAAATAACAACTTTCAGAAAAAATTAATTTTATAGTTATTTAAAATAACTATAAATTTACTTAATTATTTAATTTACCAAATTTATAAATTATTATAAAAATATTTTTTAAAAAATTAAATAATATTCTAGTTGTTTTGAATATTTCATTACCTATAAACTTATTTATATGATTAGCAATACTCTGCTGGTACTGAAACTAACTTAGTTGAATAGCTGATGATGGATGATTTCCTCAAATTCGTGTTAATTTTAAATTAATTTTTTACTGTAATATTCCTTATTTTTTATATTGGCATTAGAATATGTACAACAGGTCAATCAATAACCTTGAGATATTGGTGCTTAACACAATTCAGGTGCTGTTAATTTCTGCTCATAGTATAATATTGAATTATTTTTGATACTAAAAATTGATGATAGAAAACAAATTATATGCAGTAATCAGAAAATATAATGTATATTAAATTATTATTAAAATTATAGACATAAATTATTAATAACTTTATCAAATATTAAACAAAAAATAACTGAACAAAATTATAAATTTTTAAAAATAAAATAAAATAGAGCATATAATTTTTATATTTATAAAAAATTAATATATTATATTTTATTATTATAAATGTATAAAATTATTTAAAAAATAATAATATTAAATCAAATAATTATAATATATAATATATAAAATATTAAAATTATTAAAAATTTTCATATTTATAAATTAAAAAAATTTACATTAATTTTACATATTATTTAAATTTTATATATTAAAAAATACATGTATTTATTATTCTTCATTTTCAAAAAAAAAATATCAGATATAAAATTTTTGGATTAAAAAATTAATTATATACAATTTAATTATATTTTTAGTATTTAATTAAAAAATAATATTAATTAAAAATATATATTTTTTATATAAATTTAAATAATAAATATATATATATATATATATATTTCTATTTCATATAGTAAATAAAAATATTTAAAAAAACATTAATAATCTAATTATAAATAATTTTTAGTTTACATTTAACATTAATATGTAATTTTTTTTTTTTTTTATATATATATATATATATATATATATATATATAATAGAAAATTTTTGTAATATTTTAATTAATATAATGGATATTTTTATTATATAAAATTCATATTTAAATACTATAAATAATTTAATAAAGATTTTTATTAATTATAATAATTATTTACTTTATTATATGAATAAATAATTCATTTTTTTAAAAAATATTCAATTATTATTAGAAATATTTTTTTAGTTATTTTTTTTATAATTAATATAAATATTAATTATTGAATAAATGATTTAGATTTACAATTAATAATATTATCATATTTTTTTATTATGTTTTTAAAATAATTATGCAAAAATTACTTCTTTTTTTTTTAATTTTTAAATTGTTAAATTATTCGTACTATTTTTTAAAAAATAAAAATAAAATAATCCTTTTATATATATTTATTCATAAAAAAAATATATTTTTATTAATATAAATAAATTTAATATATATTTAATTTTATTTATTTTTATATAGTAAAATTTTATAATTAGTATAATTTTGCATTTATTAAACACCAAATTAACTTTAGTATATAATGTAATAAATTAAAATTTTATTAAAAAAAAAAATGCATAAAATTATATTATTATCTTTAATTATTTCATTATTTATCAATAAATTAAGTTTTTTACCCTGCCCAGAGGGTACTGAAACTAATGTTTCTGGTGTAGATGATGATTAAGGTAATCCAGCAAATTGTGTTAACTGTTAACCTGATTATTATTTTAATGGTGATAATTTCATACCTGGTGTTAGTGAATGCGAAGAATGTCAAATTTCAAAAGCTGAAGGTACTTAAGCCAATCCAGGTGGTATTGCTACATTAGCTCTTTAATGCGACATTAATTGTCCTGCTGGTACTTAAACTGAAAATGGAGAAACTGTTTATGTAGCATAAAAATAAGAATGTAATTTTTGTAAAGCTGACCATTATAACATATTCGATAAAGATGACTTCGAACCAGGTGATTACTTTTGCGAGGAATGTTCAATAAAAAAAACTTCTGGTTCATAAGCTACTATAGGTTTTGAAGCTTAAATAGAAAAATAATGTAACATTGCTTGCCCTACAGGAACAACAACTGAAACTGCAGAAACTAATTATAAAATTCATGAAAATGAATGTATTAATTGCAATGTTAACTTTTATTTTGATTCCAATGAATTTTTAGATGGGGTAAGTACATGCAAACCTTGTCCAGTAAAAAAAATTATTGGAGCAGTACGGACATAAGGTTAAAATGCTAAAAAGAAGTATAATGTGATGTTTAATGTCCTGATGGTACTGTAGTTAAGGATGGAAAAACAACTTTTGAAAATGAAAAATCTGAATGTGTTAAATGTGCTCCTAATTTTTATACTGCAAAGCAAGAAGAATGGATAGCAGGTATTGATATATGTTTTCCTTGTTCTAATATTTTGATTTAAGGCGCTTAAGCAAATTATCCTTCTGTTGCTACTCAAGCTACATAATGCAGAGGTACTTTCTCTTAGTTTTTGACATTTTCCTTATTATTTATTTATTTATATTTTTTATGAATAATAAAATATTTTATGAATAATAAAATAATAATTATTTTTATTTTCATATAATTAAGTAAAAAATATAAAACAATAGTTTCATATATAAATATTTATGTATTATATAAATAATAAATACCATAAAAACCTAATATTCTCTTTTTTATTTATTTTACTTGTAATATTTTAAATAATAAATTTAAAATCAGTGAAATAATTTAATATATTATAATTTATTTATATTAGAAAAATGACAAAAATAAATATTTTAGTTAGGAGATATAATATTTTTAATTATATATATATATTTATTTCATAAATATATTAATGAATTTTATTTTACATTTCCATTTAAATTTTAATATATTATTTTATTATAATAGCCTTTTGAATATTATTTTTTTGAATATTTTTGTTTAAAACAAAAATAATATATTCTTAATGCAAAAAGAATAATTAGTGATAATAAAAAAGATTAATAAAAAAAATCTGTTATTTAAGGACAAATAATACTCATTTTTTTTGATAATAAAATTAGTAGATATATTAATCTTAATTTTAGTATAATAAAATAGATTTAGTTAAAATATATAAATAAATATATAAATTAAAATCATTTTTAAATAAGATTTTCTATACTCAAATAATATTTTTTTTATTACAAATTTATAAATAAATAAACATGATTTCATTTTTAAAAGAAAAAAATAAAATTTTATAATTTTTATTTAATATTTAAATTTATTAAATAATAATATATTTAATAAATATATTTTTATAAAAAATTAATAAATTTATTTGCTTTTTACTAAATTTAATCTTTTAAAAATAAAAAATCAATTTATTTAACAATTTTTTTTTATTTAAAAAAAAAATTTCAATGATTATTAATTACAATACTTTTAATAATTTTAAAACTATCAAATAAAAATATGTGCATTTTTATTTTAAATTTTTTTTAGAAAATTTTATAAAATATACATTATTAATTATTAAATAATAAAAAAATTATTATATCTTTAATTTAATTGTTATTATTTATTTTCTTTTTTTAATAAAAATAAATTTAAAAAATAACTTATATATAAAATATCTATTATTAATTATTAATTTTTTTTTTTTTCTTGAATATAAAAAGAAAATATATTATGTTTTTTAAATAATACAAATACTTGAATCTTTATAATTTAATATATTTAAATTTAAAAAATTTGCATTTATTTTTTCAATATTTTTTAAATTAATAAACATATCATAATTTAATATTGCTTTTATTAACAAAATTACATAATCTAATCATTTTATATATAAGAATATATAAAATAATAAATAAATTAATTTTTACTATTAATAAATAATAAAATAAAAATTATTTTGTTTATTGATTATAATTTAAAAATATAATATATAAATTTTATTTTATACTAATATCATTATTTAATTTTAAAACCTTTTGACTTATTTTTTTATATAAAAATTTTGTTTCGTTAATATTAAACGAAATAATTTTTATTTCACTAAAAAAAATTATTATATATTTCCAAATTATATTCGAATAAATTCTTTGAATTAACTATGTTATAAAATTACTATAACTAAAAGAAAAAAAATAATATTAATAATAATATAATTTATTTTATATTCTTATATTAAATTAGTTAAAATAATAATTTTTTATTAATTTGTAAATTAATTATATATTATTTTAAATATATCATAAAATATAATATGATACATACAATATATTTATTATAATAATTAAAATCTATTTTCTAATTATTTTAACATACATTCTCTTTAATTTTATTTATAATAATTAATAAAATTATATATTTTATTAATTTTGACTATTTAAAAGATTTATTATTATTTTTAATTTTTTAAAACAATTGGTTAGATAAAATCTTTCAATTTAATTTTATTTAATTCTATCTAATTTTATGCACAAATTGTATTGTAATTAAAATAAAATAAATATTAAAAATTATTTTATTAAGTGAAAAATATTAATGAATTGATAATTTTACTTATTATATATATAAAAAAATCTAATAATAATTATTATGAAATAAACTCTATTTAATTATTTATAGAAATACTTTAAATTCTTTTATTAAGATAAAAATAAAATAATTATGTTTATTTATAAAAAAAATATTTTTTATCACTTAATATTATATTTAATTATAAAAATATAAGTTTGTTTATAGTTTTTTAATAACAATTTTATTATTATTTTAAAATGTTTTGATTCTATATCAAATAAGTAATTTATTTAAAATTGTAAGTATAAACACATTAATTTAAATAAAGAAACAAAATTATTTAATATTAAAGTTAGAATTATATAAATAATATTTTTATTCTGAGTATTTATTATAGTTAGTAAACACAAAAATATATTAAACAATATTTAAAGTAAAAAAGAATATAAATATTATTATTAAAAATAAGAAAAAAATTAGTAATAATAAAATTTTCCTAGAGCTTCTGGTGCTGTTAATTTCTCCAGAAAATATAATAATATTATATGTATTTTTGATACTGAAATTACTAATAAAAAATAAATTATATTAGTAATCAAAGAATTGACTAATTGTAAATTATAAATAACCGGACTCCTCTATTTAATGCAGGCGCGTGTTCATACATAGCTTTTCCTGCGAAAAAATCTAATATTGGTGTATTTGTTAAAGGTGCTGCTGCTAATATTCATATAATGTAAAGTTGCATGCCCTGCTCGTACTGCACTTGCTGATAAACAAATAATGCATTAATTAAAGTGTTCACTTTCACTATAATTTTAAAACTCGTTTTAATGCAGGTTATAATGCTTGCAAAGCTTGTCAGCTAATAAAACTGCCGATGTTGCTGTAGCAACTCAAGGTGCTATAGTTTCAATAATAAACATATAATTTATTTTAAATAATCTGATAATACTAAAAAAAGGAAATATTTTTTAAAAAATTAAATGTATTTATACTTAAAAAATATACTCTAATATTTTTTAGACAAATTTATTTAAATTTAATTGTTCAATAGATTTTTAATGTAGAAATAACTATTTGTGGAATAATAAATTTTATATATTATTTATAAATTACTCATTCAATGATTATATTTATATTATATTTTTTAAAATAAAATATATTTGTTTGTAAAAACAAAATAATAATTATTTATTATATAAAAAAAGAAAATAAATGCTATATTTTATATTTATTTATAAATTTGTTTTGTTGATATATATGAAATTATTATTTAATTTAAGAATTATATTATTAAAGAATTTATCTAATAAAGTATAATAAGAAACTGAATAATTATTATAAATTTTTATAAATAAAAATGTATATATTAAATAAATCATTAAATAATTTTTTGTATTTTAAAATTAAAGTTAATTTTAAATTATAAAATATATATAAAAATAAAATATTCAAATTATAAAAAAAAAATATAATGAAATATAATAAATATATATATATATATTTATATTATTTTAAATTTATTTTTTATATTTTTTTATATTTTATTTATAATTATTTATATTTATTTAAATTATTTTAATTTAATTTTAAAATTTTCACAATCTTAATTAATAAATTTTTTTTTTTTATTATTTTAAAATAAATATTTTTTATTAATTAAAATTAATAATAGAAATATATTTAAAATTTTTATGTAATAAATATTTAATTATTTAAATTATTTAATTTTTTTTTAAAAAAAATTAAATAATTTAAATATTTTTAAGCATTTTATATTAATTTTGTATATTAAAATTTACTTTTATTTATTTATATTTTCATATTTAAAAATATCAGATAAAATTTTTTTATGATTAAAAATTTATTTATACACAATTTAATTTTAATTTTTATATTAAATATTTAATAATAATAATTTATAAATATATTGTCTTATATAAATTAAAATATATTATAAATATATTTTTTTTTCATATATTATATATATTTATATATAACAAAATATATTTAAATAATTAATATAAAAAAAAAAAAAATCTTTATATTAAATTATAAACATGTAATATTTTATAAATATATTTTCTATATTAATTAATATATTAAAATTTCATATTTTTAAATAAAATTCTTATTTTAAATTTTTTTTTTAATTTTTAATAAACATAAAAAAAAAAAATGTATTAAATTTTTAAGAATATAAATAATTTTTTTTTTTTTTGAATTTAAAAATATTTCTTAATCAATAAAAATATAATTTATTTAATAAATAATTTAGATTACAATAAATAATATTATTATATTTTATTTATTATTTTAAAATAATGATACTAAAATAAATTTTTAATTTGTTTAATTATCTGATAAGTAATATTTTTTAAAAAAAACAAAATTAAATAAAATAGTTTATACTAAATAAAATGAAATTTAAATAATAATATATAAAACTAATATAAATTTTATTTTTTATGTTTTAAATAATTTTTTTTTTATATATTTAATTTTACATTTATTAATGACCATATAAACTTTAGTATATAACTTAATTATTTAATATTTTATAAATAAAAAAAATTGAATAAAAATATAATAATAATTTTTATTATTTCATTATTTTTCAATAAATTAAAAGCTTAACTTTGTTTATTGGGTACTGAAACTAATGTTGCTGGTGAAAAAGATCATCAAAGAAATCCAGCAAATTGTGTTAACTTTAAACCTGATTATTATTTTAATGGTGATAATTTCATTCCTGGTGTTAGTGAATGTTAACAGTGTCCAATTCCCTTAAAAATTGCTGCATAATAAGCAAATGCAGGTGGTATTGCTAAATTAGCTCTTTAATGTGAAATTAATTGTCCTGCTGGTACTTAAACTGAACATGGAGAAACTGTTTATGTAGCATAAAAAGAAGAATGTAATTTTTGTAAAGCTGGCTTTTATTTTCAAAGTGATATTTTTACTTTCTCAGCAGGTGTTCACAGATGCGAATAATGTGGAATAAAAAAAGCTGGTGGTTCTAAAGCAACTTTAGGTGTTAATGCTTCAATAGAATAATAATGTAACATTAATTGCCCTACTGGAACAATAACTGATACTGGAGCAACTATTTATTTATCACATTAAAGTGAATGTGTTAATTGTAATATTAATTTTTATTTAGAATCGCATTACTTTTTAGCAGGTGAAAGCACATGCAAACCTTGTCCAGTAAAAAAAAGTTTTGGTGCTAGACATACTTTAGATTAAAATGCTAAAATAGAAGTATAATGTGATGTTGAATGTCCTAATGGTACTGTAATTTATGATGGAAAAACAAATAATTTTAAAAATGAAAAATCTGAATGTATTAAATGCGCTGCTAATTTTAATAATGTAAAGCAAGAAGAATGGGTAGCAGGTACTGATATATGTTTTCCTTGCTCTAATATTTTGATTTAAGGCGCTTAAGCAAATTATCATTCTGTTGCTACTCAAGCTACAATATGCAGAGGTACTTTCTCTTAGTTTTTGACATTTTCCTTACTATTTATTTGTTTATATTTTTTATGATGAATAAAATAATAAATATTTTTTATTTTCATATAATTAAGTAATAAATATAAAACAATAGTTTATTATATAAAAAATTATGTTTTATATATAAAATAAATAGCATAAAAAAATAATATATTTTTTATTTTAATTGTAATATTTTAAATTATAAAATTGAAATCAGATTAAAAAAAGAATTTTAGTATAGTTCTTTTATTATAGTAAATAAATTAATATATATTTGAAAAATGACAAAAAATAAATATTTTAATTAGGAGATATAATATTTTTAATTATATATATATTTATTTCATAAATATTTTAATGAATTTTATTTTACATTTCCATTTAAATTTTAATATCATTCTTTTATTATAAAAAGTAATTTTATTATTAAATTTTTGAATTTAAATATTTTTGAATAAAATTTATATATTTTTTTTATTATTAATTTATAAAAATATTTAAAGTCAAAATAATTTATTATTAAAGCAAAAGTAATGAGTGTTTTGCATTAATAATAACTTTTTTTATAATTTTAAGTATAAAAAATACATAAATTATTTGAATATAAAATTATATTTATATTTATATTTATATTTATATTTATATTTATATTTATATTTAAATTAAATAATATAAAAAAGCATTAAATTTATATAATATATATTCATCTAATTTATATTACTTTGACTTTTAATAAGATACTCACTAATATTTATATTGTTTAAAAATATATTTAAATTAATTTTTTATTTTTTGATAAATATAATGAATCTATTTTAATATCTATAATACTATATATGAAAAAATAAAATATTTATTTATTTTATTGAATTTTATAATAAAAATCATTATATATTTATAATTCTAATTTTAAAAATATAATAATATCTAAAAATTTACATTAAAATATATTTTTTTAAAAATATAAAAATGTAAAGATTATTAGTTTTGAAGATTATTAAAAAAATGTTTTCTTTTCATTTTAATTTATTAAAAAATTATATAGATTATGCGATAAATTATTAATTTTTTTTAAATAACAATTAATTAGTTATTAATTTATTTATATATTCTATTCATTCAATAAATATATTTTTATTAAAAATTATTAAATTATATTTCTTAGTTTAATTATTCTTAAATTTGTATTAAAAAAAAAATATTTAAAATAGTTTTTTATTTATCTTTTATATACTGTAATAATATTTTTTTTTAGTGTAACTTTTATAAATGCATTTATTAAAAAAAAAATATAAAATAAATTTTTATAATTTATTAACATTTATTTATATATAAAACTTATTAATACTTAATTTATATATTAATAAAAAAAAATTAAATTAATTGAATTTCTAATAAATTTTATTTTTTAAAAATAAAAAAATTAAATTATCTAATTAATAATTTTTTTTATTTAAAAAAAATAATTCTGAATAATTTTATTTTAATTAGCTTTTGTAGACAAAAATAATCTATAAATAATTAATATATATTTAATAAAAATAATGAAATTAAACCAATTTTTAATAAAAATAAATAATAATAATTTTATTTGTATTTTTTTAGAAATAATAAATAGATTATATTTTTTAAACTATAAAAAATTTCAAACAAAATTCATTGATAAAATTAAAAATAAAATATATTTTATAAGAAAAGATTGTAAAAATATCACAAAATAACCGCATTCGTATAAAAGCAAATTTAAATTAAAAATTTAATTTTTATCATTATAACTTATGATTTTAAACTACAATCATGTCGAAAAATTAAAAATATTGGTACAATTTTAAATAAATATTTTTTTATTTAATTACATTTTTATAAAGAAAGAAAAAAGAAATTTATTCTTAAATAAAATTTTTATGCAATTCCAGCAATTTTAAAATATAAAAATAAATTAATAATTACAATCATATATTTTGATTATTAGAATATATATTTAATATTTTTTACTATATTCATATAATATTTGTTTAATTTTAAGATTTAATATCATTTAAAAGGTTAATGTTTTTATATCTAAAACATTTATTTTATAAGCATATAATAATATAAATAATAAAAAATAAAATTATTAATAAAAGCATTTATTAAATAATATGTATTTAGCATAAAAAAATATAATAAATCTTATGTTAGATGTATAAAATCCTAAATTTAAATATTATTTATAATTAATATTATAGATATAAATGCTAATATTATATTTATTTATAAATAATAATATGTGAATAACTTATTTTATATAAAACATTTTTTTTATTATTTTCTAATGATATAATAAGATTTTAGATAAATTAATATAAATATATATATTATATATTTATATATATTTATTTTAGATGATTTAATTTATTAATAAATCTTATTAATGTTACAAATATTTATATTAAATTTAACAAATTTTATTGTAATTAAAATAAATGAATAATAAAAATAATTTTTCAAATAAAAAAATATTAAATAATTTTTAATTTAATTTATTATCATAATATAATAATGATTAAATAAAAGTTTTAATAAATATTTTTGAAAAAAACTTATTTTATTATTTTTACTTATTTTTTTTAATTATTTAAATAATTGCAAAAAATATTGATTATCATCTTTCATATACATTAATTATTTTTAAATATTTAATTGATATTTTAATTAAATAATTTTTTTGAATTTGAAAATAATAAATTATTTATATTTAAAATATTTAAATTATTTAGAACTTTAATTAAACAATATAATTATTAAATATTGAATTGTTTATTATATTTTACTAATCTTTTTTTTCTAACTGTTTATTTTAATAAATACAGAAGAATATATAATATTAATAAGTTATAAAGTTGATATTAATACAATTTTTAAATGTGTATGTAATAATTAATAAAAAAAACAAATATAGTAAATATATAAAATATTATTAATTTTTTAAATATATTTTATTTTAATTAATTATATGAATTTTTTTAAAAAAAAATTAAAATATAAATAATTTTAGTATTTTTGATTACTTTAATATCTATGAATTATTTAAATTAATTGCAATGTCCTGTTCTTTCTAAAGCTAATTTAGCTCTGGATAAGCTGATGATTGATGAATTCTTGCAAATTATATAGCAGTAAATCCAGAATTAATTAATTGTATACCTCCCTTTTTATTAATAATCGGGATTCTCTTTATAATGAAGGTGCGTATTCATACATAGCTTGTCAAGCAATAAGATCTATTGGTTGTGTATCTGTTAAATGTGTTGCTGCTAATATACTGACATAATATAACGTTGCATGCCCTGCTCTTACTACACTTGCTGATAGACACATAATGTATTAATCAAAGGGTTAACTTTTAATATAATGATAAAACTCATTTCAATACAGGCTATAGTGTATGACAGCTTATTAGCTAATAAAGCTGCAAATATTGCTGTAGCCACTCAAGGTGCTAAAGCTTCAATAATAGCCATATAATTTACATTGCATGAATGGAAAGTATTAAATGGAAATATTTTTTAAAAAAAATTAATTTTATTAATTCTTGAAAATTATTCTCTAATATTTTTTTAAACAAATTTAATTTTTTTCGATAGATTTTTAGGCAAGTTAAAAATTTCTTGAATACAAAATTTTATATAAACACTTATAATTTACTCATACTAAAAATTCAATTTTCTAAGTTTATTTTAGTATTATAAATTTATAAAAATAAATACAATTATTTTTGAAAATAAAAATTTATATTTTATTATTTAAATTTAATTAAATTCAATGCTTTATTTATAGTTAATTTAATTTTTATTATTGTTGTCTTTATATTAATTATTTATATTAACTTATTATGATATTTTTGACATTTTATATTAATGACTTTATCAATTATAATTTAAAAAGAAACTGTAAAACATTATGAATTTTAATAAATAAAACTACCTATATTATAAAAACCAAAAAAATTGTTTTTAATTTTTTTATAAATAAAATTTTAATTTAAAATTATACATATAAATATTATATAACATTGCAATACAAAAAATAATATAAAATCTATAAATTATAATTGAAAAATATATAATCGAATTTATATATAAATAAGAAATAAAAATATATTATTTTTATTTTTTTAAAAAAATATATATTTTGAATAATTAAAAAATTATAAAAGTATTTTAAATATTAATTAATTATAACTTTTTATATTTAAATAAAAATATATTTATTTAATAATATAAAAATAATAAAAGAATATATTTAGATTAATTATTAATTTTATACATGATATAATATTTTTATTTATTTATCTATTTTTTATATAAAAATATATTATAAAATATTATTTATATAATATATATATATAATTTAATTTTTTTAATAATAGACATTTTAATTAATTTTTTTATTATATTTCATTTCTTTTAATTTAAAAATAATTTGTTATATATATTTTTTTTCATATATAATATAAATTTAATATTTTTTTTTTAATTGCGATAATTCTTCAGAATTAAAAAATAATAAAAAAATATCTTTTTTTATTTAAATAATAAATATATAAATTTATCACTAAGATATTTACTATATTATTAAATAAATAAATATATGTGATTTTTTTAAATATTGCAATTACTAATTTTTTATCAAAAATTTTATTTTATTTCATAAAAATATAAACATATAATAATAAATAATTTATTAATTTCATATCTATATAAATATAATTAATTATTTTTTTGATACATAATTTAATTATCTTTATAATAATTATCTATTTTTTTATAAGCAAATAAATATTATATATTTATATTAATTAGTTAGATTTTTAAATAAATAATCTTTTCATATTTTTTTATCATAATTTAAAATAATTATACATTATTTTTATTATATGTTAAATTATCTCTTATGATATATTTTTATAATAAACAATATTAAAATAAATATTTAATCTAATGTTTATTAAATTATTATTGCATAATATTTTATTAATAATAAAGCAAGTATAAATAAAATTAATTTTA